GGCTGCTTGGTACTCTGGGCGCCGTGATTTGGGCCTGTTGTGCTTCCTGGGCCTATTGGGCCTTTATTGGAGTAGTAGGAGTCTATGGACCGGGGGGTCCCGGGCCATATACTCCATCATATATCATTGTTTTGGGTGAGAAATTTTGGGGTGTTACAAATTGGCATCAGAGCAACCTTGCGACAGTGTGTTGATCCGTTGGATATCGGGCGGGCACTTAGCAGGAGAAAAGATTCTGGGATATGATTGAGATTGGTTTATGGGCGCAACGAGGACGTTGTGTTCCTAAGTGGGGGTGATTGTAATACTTGAGATTTAATTTAAATGGATTAATAGTACTATTCATACCAACAAGATGCATCTCCTTTTAAGGGAGCTCATCATCAAGAACTTCAAAGTTAAGTGTGCTTGCACGGGAGTAGTCTTGGGATGGGTGACCACGAGTGATGACAAAGTGTGCGGAAAAAGCTTGTGGTGGTTTGTGAGTACAGTACTAGAGGTCAGAAGTAACTACCTCGGGCCTACGGGGCCGGGATGTTACACTAAATCCTATGATATATATGATAAAATCACTAAATCGATTTGGTAATACTTAGGATCATGTTTAAAAGTGTATATGATATATAACATTAGACCATTTAAAATATGAATTCATAAAATGTGCACTTATTTTGAAATGATTACCCACCGTGCATCGCACGGGTACCGTACTAGTACAGTTAGTAAGAAAGAAAGATGTAGATTCTTGATTTTTTCGTTTACCCTTTTGTTCTTTTTTGGCAAAAGATAACTTAATTAATATTAGAACTGAGAACCAGATACAAGTTCGCCATAACAAAGGCTACACTGGGGTGAGACTCAGAGCTGGAAACACGCTTACTAGCGGACCATCTCGCTAACCCCGCAAATTGGTAGTCTCCATACACAACAATGATGCACCTGCTACTAAAATGGAAACCAATAAACGCAACAATGTTATGAGAAAATAAAGAATCAAACGAGGAACATAATCCAATTTTTTCAGCCGCTAGCAAGGAAACAGCAATTTGACCAGCCTCCGCTAAAGGAACCTCAACCTTATCCTTGCAAACGTCTGTTACTGGCGATGCTGCCCGGACAACACCGCCACTTCCAAGTTTTTTGGAGTTTCTTCATCCACATTCATACTTGCTTGTGCCCCCACTCCACTATCCGTCTCTGTGACCCTACGCTTTCTTGGTGCATCCTGAGTCGTAGCGATCTCCTTACCCTTCGATAGAAGTCCTTCCACCTGTAGCTTTCTTGGTCCTTCGTCACACTGTGAGAGACTACCTTGTCATCCCTTCTATCTCCAGGCTTGTTGTTGCTAGGAATAAGCCACCTGTTACCCGGATGTGATCCTCCTCGCCTCATATCAGCTCGTAGCCATGTACCATAAGGCTTCTCCCCGAGCCCTACACTACTATGTGGATTAGAAGGACAGAACCGATCCGTGTGACCAAGAATCCCACACATAAAGCAAAAGTTCAGGAGTCTTTTCATACAGAAAGTTTGCCCAAATCCAACTGTCCCCCTCGTGTCTGAACTGTAGACGCCGAGTCAAAGCCATAGTAATATTAATAGTGACTCTAATGCGCAGGATCAATCTTTGCTTTCCACCAAGAGAGCCCTCATCCACCTGCACAAACGCTCCAATACTGTTAGCAATTCCACGAGCTGCTCTGACCGTCATGTAGCTTAACGGTGGGTTGTGGACCTGGACCCAGAAGTCCGCATGATCCAATGGAACCTCTAGAGGTTTATCAGTACACCCCAACCGTTTAATTACCACAAGATTCTGCTCAAATGACCAAGGCCCCTCATCAACAACTCTATTCAGATCTCCTTCGTGATAGAACTGTAAAAAGAATTTAGAATCCCCAATTTCATCAATCGAAACTCCCTTGACTGGTTGCCAAACCATAGCCATAGTTTGGCAAAAGGAGACAGCACGAACAAGTTTGTCCGAAACCACTCAAGCAACCGTCGCTAGCTTGAATTCTTATGTAGACGCATCCGCGTTCTCTGCCGGGTCAGCTGCAAGCACCAACCCCCTGTTCTCCTCTTCAGCAATTGAAATCATACTAACATTCTTCGAAATCAGATCCATCACAGCCCAATCCAAGACCACAAGTTCAAAACAAAAACGCAGGACACCAAACCTTGCACAATAAAATCAAACTAACACACTGTATTCCACACACAGAAGAAGAAGACACCCTCCGTACGTTCAGAGCAGAAAGCTACACCCACCTCGCCAAATTAAGCCGGACAACAACGCGGGACAAAACAGCCCGGAGAAGGAACCCAAAAAATGAACAAGCACAAGAAAAAACAGGAAAACTAAATCTGGACCGGAATAAATGAGCGCCAGAAACTCCTTGATGAAGCCATCTCCTCCGTCGATCTGGGTCTACAGTTGATTGGAGTTATCCCCTTCAAGAGCCGGTGACGCTACTTTGCTAGGGTTCTCTCATCATCTTACTCCGTGGAGTGTTACTTTTTCTATTTCTACCCTTTTGTTCTATTAGTTCTCTTTTAATGAGTATTCAATTGATTTGAGTATAAGTATTTGGATTGAGATTTTTTAAATTTATATATTAATCTGAAGCCTCGATTTTACATTTAGAATCGGACCCCTAAATTCATTAGATGGCTCTGAAGATATGGACTTTGAGATGTTAAAGGTTCAAAGCATAGGCTCTGCGACGACGATAAAGGAAACATGCAGATTTACTATCAGTTCTCCATGTCTTGCCCAATCACGCCGCAACAGAAGAAGTGTGGTAATTTGACTCGACCACAAACCTTGCAACAGATGATCAGTGGTTGAGGTTTTCATCGCCTTAGGTCCATTTTGTATGCCTCTCTTGTGACGAGAAAACTTTCTATGTTCCTTTTTAGGTACAAAACTTCTATTTTCACCAGTATCAACAAACAACTTTAACCATTAATATATTAAATTCCCCTAAAACATTTCCAAGAAATCACATTTTGAGAATTTAAGATAACAATAATTTAATGTTTTTAAAAATTAAAATTTTAATGCATTTATAAATAAAACGTAGTTAAAACAAAGCATGTGAAAAGTGTAAAACTCTATATATTGCAACTATTTAAGAACGAAAATAGTACGTTGTATAACATATTGCAATGGAAGATCTTAAAATTAATATTTTATATAAATATTTTAATATTATTAATGATTTGAACTACATTTACAACATGTTACAAAAGTGAGGGGAAGTATCTGGACATGTTGTACAGTGTTACCGGAAGATACTGCAAAAAATGAGTTTTGCTACATTATTTAAGACATAATTAATAGGAAATAAATCTGCAATTTTTTTACTTTGCATTCTTTTATTTGTTATATTTTCCTTTTTGAGAAGTACCTTTTTGTTTGCTATATTTTCTCTTTTTCTTTTAAAATACTGATGTATACTTATTTTTTATGGGAAAATAACTTTAAATAATATCAATTATCACTTAAACCAATAATAATACATACTTTAAAAATGATTTTTAATAATACCAACTATTTGATATACACCAATAATATTATGGAGTCACTTTTCGATAAGAAATCCAGTCATTTAAGACATTAAAAATTAATAGAAAATTATCAAATAAATGATATTTGGAAATACAGTCACTTATTTAATATTTTAATACTCCGTACTAATTTTTGATGAATTAAATAACTGATTTTCATTGAAAATTTCCTTTATATCACTTTTGGTCTATATTTAAATAGTTGGTATTATTAAAAAAAATTTCCAAAGTACTAATTATTCCTGATTCATGGAAGATAGTTTGTATTATTTAAAATTATTTTCCCATTTTTTTATTTTTCATTTTTTTCTACAATACCTTTTCTATATGGAGTATTATTTATTACATTTAGTATTTTTCTTTTAAATATTGTAAACCCTATTATAATAAGAATATAAAGGAGTAATTTATTATTAAAGGATACATTGGTAAAGCTAAAAACAGGACTAAATTTTCCTTCAAAACTGACGCCATTTTCCTGCCAGTCATCTGAACAAAATTTGGCGCCTAATCGCTATTCATCCTTGGCGAAGATGCGAGGTCGTCCATTACAGAATCACTAGAACAACGAAGTTGGAAAGCCTTAAGCTCCGCCGTATCGGAAATGGTTCTCCATCAAATCAATAACCTCTCGTCTCGTAAACGCCCCGCCAAATCCAACAATGGCTTCGTTCCCCCGTTCGCTCATCCTCCCAAAATCTCCAAAACCTCAACTGCCGCCCCAACCGCAGCCGCCACAGCCGCTGTTTCGCAATCCACGCCTCCGCTCAAAGGTCAAAGCACGTCTGTTTCTGATAAAATGGTTGCTGTTCTAGCTGATGCTGGTTGCACTTTGATCAATCCATCCGGCCCACCTTGCCTCCCGTCTGACCTCCCGAAGCTCCGCAACCGCCTCCACCACCTCTTCTCATCCGACTCCACGTTGCGGTCTGAGTTTCTTCATGGTCTTTGTTCTTATATGAGCTCTCCCAACAATCTTCGCCGGTCAGTTTGTCGCTCTGTCAGACACTTCAACTCTTCCAATTTAATTTAACAACAGTTTAATGGTTTGAAGATATTTTGTGCTCAAGTTGTTAACAAAGATGATAATTTGAATAGCTCTGAGAGGTACATCATCATTAGAAAATGCAGCAGAAGCTTGTAAATTGATTTTGTCGTTCTTTTGCTGCATTTTCATAGCTATTGAATAATAACCATCTGTATGCATTTATCGAACTAAGAAATGAGTGAGAAAGAATTACAATGCCCAAGAAAGTATGCAGCCCAATGGCGTTATGATTTCAGCATTCGAATGTTGTGAACAAAATTTGCTTGTTAAACAAACATTTCTTTCTGTTTATTAATTAATTTATTATAAAAAGAGGAAAATATGGGGTTGGAAAATTCTCTTGACAAGTTATTTACTGATGCAAAAGATTAAATTGCAGAGTCTTATCATATTCATATCGCGATGGTTTGGGCTCAGTGAGAAGTGATAGTGTGGTTAGAGTATTGTTACTCGTTCCTTCTATTCAGTCAGACCTTCAAAACATGTTGATTGAGAAGCTTCCAGAATACTTTGATCTCGACGCTGGTGGAACAGGACACTCCAGATTTGAAGATGACATTGCCAGGCTAATACTGAAACAATTTCGGTGGCTGGACTTCCTTGCGGATTCTGATGCATTTATTGGTCAATTGTTACAAGTACTGTCAATTTGCCCCCATTACTTGAAGAGGGAAATCATTGGATCTTTGCCTGAGATTATAGGAGACCAAAACAACAAAACTGTGATAGATTCACTCCATCATATGCTTGAAGAGGATCCCTCTATTATTATTCCCGTGCTTGACTGTTTCTCTTATCTGCATTTGGACGAGACCATGAAAGAGCAGGTTCTGTCTAATATCTGATTATTATTATTATTATTATTATTATTATTATAATTATTATTATTATTATTATTATTATTATTATTATTATTATTATTATAAACACAGAATATGCCATAGGATTGTTCAATATTTTTTTCGCGGTATCATATGAAGGTTGTTACCATAGGATTGTCCTGCATTAGAACAGCTGATATGGAGAATATGCCATACCTTCTCAGATTCTTATTGCTCTCTGCCTCACCTGGGAATACCCGTCGGATAATATCACATATTCGGGAACAGTTAAAATTTATTGGTTGTCAAGCAACACAGCAGAATAAAATGAAAGGGAAGTCTATTTTAAAAAATGGGGATGCTTCAATTCTTGATGCTTTGAGATCAAGTCTTCAATCTAATAAAGTCAGTTCAACTCTTCACTACACTGATTTAATCATTTCCGACTCAATATTTTGTCTTTGGAGATCTAAATTTTCAAAAATTTGATTTTATGTATGTGACATGGCATTGGCAGATAATTTGTCAGGAAACACTTAAAGAACTAAAAAGCCTCGAGAAAGCCCGGGATCATAAAGCCATTGATATGTGGCTCCTTGTTTTAATTTACATGAATAGTGAGTCTTTGCAAAAGAGTATTGAGAAGTTACTGAAGAAGAAAGTTGTCGAAGGGTTTATTGAAAAAGTGTTATTTGATCAATGTGTTCGTGGGAATAAGGCTGTAGCACAGGTATAAGTGGAGAATTAAATTAGTGCTTATTGTTGAAATATGAATTATGACATGCTTTTATGTGATACAAATTTCATTCTTGTGATACAATAGGATTATCTTCCCACATTTATCTCCATGTCTGGGTACTTATTGGGGTGTAAAGAACAAAAAGCACAGGATTTTGGCATTCATATGTATAAATGCTTATTTGAAGAGTTTGCCGATGTCTATTCAAGGCAGGAAGTAAGTTCATCCGCTCAGATATGATGTGTGAATGTGCAACTTTCTTCTTCACTCATTCTAAGAATTAATGATAAATGACATTCTGTGGACTGCACTCTTTGTCTTAATTGTATTCACTATGAAGCTTTTAGGAGCACTTGTCACTCACGTGGGCTCTGGGATAAGTCATGAAGTGACCTCTGGTTTGCAAGCCATGGCTCTCCTTGCCTCCAAGTACTCCTATGAGTTGATTCCTCTCTCTTCTTATATAATGGGTATGCATGCTTATCAATAATGTCCTGTGAATCGTTCATTGTATTTCCTTCCTGAGAACCTTTTCATTTATTTTCAGGTATATTGGATTATACTGAAGGGTTTAGTCTTGAAAACTTGCACAAGGTCACAACTGCAATATTTTTGCTCGTGTTAACTACGTAATCTAAGCAATTTATATGAATTATAACCATGGTAGCAATTTTCTTCATTAGGTCTATGAAGCTTTCAGCCATCTTGCGCTTTCAGCAAGATCTAATACGGGGTCCAGATCTTCTATTTCTAATGAACTTCTAATGATTGTAAGAAAGCAGGTGAGTGGAAAGAATAACTGTGATTTCCATTCCATACACCTCCTATTGTGACTTGCCCGCTTCAAATATCTTGGCAGGTGTCCAATCCTGATTTTAAGTATAAAAAGATGGGCATAATTGGGACGGTCAAGATAGTTCACTATTTTGGAGCTAACGTGATCAACTCCTCCCAACCCTCTTCTCAAGTGAGTTGTTTACTATCCATCCACAACATTATTGGAATTCTCTAATCATTCCCAACTAACTTATGCATGTGTTTTTTACCACTTTTTATTAAAGAGAACTGTTGTTTGATTCAGCTTCTAATGTTTAAACACACCCTACATCTTGTAAGAATTTCTAAATTATGCAAATGTGCAATGCTGCAATGTGAACGTGAAGAATGGAAAAGTTTATTGTATTGATTGTGCATAAAAATAAGTGTTCTATGTTATACACATATCGCAGTGTTAGTGAACTAGGGCTATCCATAAATGCGACTGAGTAAGCCCATATATATCGTTATGTTTTTTTAGTAATATTCATACCCCCTCAAGCTACAGCATACAATTATGTATGCAGAGCTTTATATAAATTTGTGTAACATAGGACATCTAAGTGTTCCGGCGCACATATCACTATAAAATACTATGTCATCCAAGAGAGCTGTTAGATCAACTTGATTAACAATTGGTGTAGATATCAATCAACTCATCCATGCATTATCCTTTCTCTTCTCTGCAATGTTTACCTCCATCTCTTTGTTCCACTTTACGTCAATCTCCATTGAGCGCACAATTTTCTTTCCCATCGTTGGTAGAAAGGGGGTATTACTGAGTACAACATGGCTATGGAGCTTAAATGATGTAGCATTAGAGCTTTAGAGTTCCCCTTTTCATTTTCTCTTGTTTTCCTTTTCCCTTAAAAACATTAACCTCTTTTCTTACTTTCAGTCTATTTCAAATTCCAGTGAGCACAACTTTATTTCCCATCTTTAGTAGCTGCAATGAGTGAGTGACCCAACAATCGACTATATTTTAATTTTTGTTTTTTTGTTTCTCTTGATTTTTCATGGGGCTTGGTTTATGTTAAAAACTTAAAAATTATGGCATTCATAATTTAACATATGAAATCTTAGCTTTTTATGAAATTTATTTTATTATATGCATACACACAGAGTATAATATTGTAGGTTTGAAGAATTAATCTTCCTTGAATATTATTGAGCCATCCGGCAATGATATATATACAAGTTACAGATAAAGCCTAGTTGTTACAGATCCTAAAATATAGGATCTATCTATTCTGCGAGCTTATCTACTAGTTAGAGAGTTCTATCTACTCTAAGTCTTATCTGTACAGTTCCGGATGTACATATAATTAAAATAACAAATACATGTTACATTTTTCTACACTCCCCCTCAAGTTGGTAAGTATATATCATACATTCCCAACTTGCTTATAAGTAGTTCAAACACTGGTTTGAATAACCCCTTTGTAAAGATATCAGTTGTTTGTTCTTTGGTAGATATGAATGGTGTACACACAATTCCAGCTTCAATCTTCATTTTCATTTTCATTTACCCCAGTGCCTCAAAGGCTCCCACCTACGGTGGGGTAAGGGGGGGTCGGATGTACGCAATCTTACCCCTGTACTAAAGCACAGAGAGATTGTTTCCAGATGACCCATAGTGAAAATCCCGTCCAAAATTGCATAGACTAACTGCTGCTTCATAACAAAGAAGCGCAGACAGTTTAGTGAGTCATTTTACTTTATTCCATCATAATCTCAAGCCAAAAAATAATGAATCTTTGGCAACATTGCAAATGATGGAAATGTCCAGCTTCAATCTTCTCTTTGATAAAATGTCTGTCCACTTCAATATGTTTAGTACGATCATGTAGCACAGGGTTGTGAGCAATATTAATGGCTGCCTTATTATCGCAATATAACTTCATAGGTAGTTCCATTTTCATATTCAACTCTGAAATCACTCTCTTGATCCAAAGCAGTTCACAGATTCCATTAGCCATAGATCTGAATTCAGATTCTGCACTACTTCTAGCAACCACATTCTGCTTCTTACTCCTCCAAGTCACTAGATTCCCCCATACATAGGTACAATACCCAGATGTAGACCTTCTATCAGTTATTGAGCCAACATAATCTGCATCTGTAAAAGCTTCCACACTTCTATTGTCACCTTTTTTTATAAAATAATCCTTTCCTTGGACAGCTTTTCAAATACCTTAGGATTCTGTAGGTAGCATCAAGATGTTCCTGGAATGGATTATGCATGAATTGGCTAACCATACTAACTGCAAAGGCAATATCTGGCCTTGTATGTGCCAGATAAATCAATCTTCCCACCAATCTTTGATATTGTTGAACATTAACTGGTACTCCTTCCTTGACATCTCCTAACTCTTGATTAGGATCAATTGGAGTATCTATTGGTCTGCAGGCACTCTTACCTGTTTCATGGAGTAGGTCTAGTACATACTTCCTCTGAGATACCACAATACCCTTCTTTGATCTGGCTATCTCCATGCCAAGAAAGTACTTCAATTCTTCTTCAGGTCTTCAATCTCTTTATAATAGTCTCTTGTAAGGATGATATCATCCACATAAACAATTAACACTGCAATCTCTCCCTTACTTGAGAACTTCGTGAACAGTGTATGGTCTGCCTGGGCTTGCTTGAATCCCTGCCTCTTTATGAATTGAGTAAACCTGTCAAACCAAGCCCTTTGGGACTGTTTAAGTCCATATAAGGCTTTCTCCACCTTGCATACCTTTGAACCATATTGTTCCTCAAACCCATGAGGGGGGCTCATGCATACTTCCTCTTCAAGCTTCCCATTTAAGAAAACATTCTTCACATCTAACTGTTGAAGAGGCCTGTCTAGGTTAGCAGCTAGAGATAGAAGGATCCTTATAGTATTTAATTTTGCAACTGGAGCAAAAGTTTCTGTATAATCTATGTCATAGGTTTGTGTATATCCTTTGGCAACCAATCTGGCCTTATATCTTTCAAGTGTACTATGTCTTGGGTAAATACCCATTTGCATCCCACTGTTGGTTTGTTCTTGGGTAGCTCCACAACCTGCCATGTCTGATTCTTTTCAAGAGCATTCATTTCTTCTAAAACAGCCTTCTTCCACTCAAGTTTAGATAGAGCTTCCTGTATGGTTAAGGGACTACAAACAGTGGAAAGACTAGAGGTAAAGGCTGCAAATGATGCAGATAACTGAGAATAGGACAAATAGTTTGAGATAGGGTATTTAACACATGATCTTTTTTCTTTTCTGAGAGCAATGAGTAGATTTAGATCACTGGAATTATTACCTTTGTCATTTTCTGACATTGAGTCAGATTCATGAGCAGTGGCAGGATCAGGGATGTCCTCTATTCTTTGATTTGGAACTCTCCTTTCATAAACCTTGCCAAAAAATTTACTTGTCTGCTGTTCATTATCTTTCCTTGTCTCAGAAAATTTTATTTCATTTTCTTTTGATTCTTGACTATTTTCTAGTGCATCTAACTGTCTATTATATTGTGCATCTAGACTAATGTCAAGAAATTCAAGTTTTTCATGGAAATGTGACACATTATCACCATCTTCATTAGGAATCTCCCCCTGAAGATGAGTACCAAAAAAAGTTGATTTTCAACAAAAACAGTGTTCATTGTTACAAACATCTTTTTTGATATAGGGTCAAAACATTTATAGCCTTTCTGTGTTGAAGATAGTCCTAAGAAAACACATTTTTTGCCTCTAGGATCAAATTTGCTTACAGTTCTGTCAAGGTTGGTAATAAAAACTGTGCAGCCAAAAATTTTTATGGGAAGAGAGTTGATAAGCCTAGTTTCAGGAAAACTGGCTTGAAGTGTATCAATGGGAGTTTTAAATCCTAGAGTCTTTGATGGCATCCTATTAATTAAATAGGTAGCATGTAAAACAGCTTCTCCCCATAAATATTTTAGAATTCAAGCAGAAAACATAATTGCACGAGTGACTTCAAGCAAATGCCTATTTTTCCTCTCAGCTATTCCATTCTGAGCAGGTGTATTTATACAGGAACTTTGATGAATAATCCCTTTTTGAGCAAAAAAATTATTTAACTTCGTAGAAAAATACTCAAGACCATTATTACTTCTCACAATCTTGATATTAGTATTGAATTGAGTCTGAATCATTGAGTAAAATTTCTTGAACACCTCTTCAACCTCAAATTTTTCTTTAATAAAAAAAAACCATGTGACCCGTGTGTGATCATCTATGATAGTTACAAACCACCTTTTTCCTTTCAAAGTTGAAACTCTAGATGCACCCCAAATATCACTTTGTACAATAGTAAAAGGACTAGTTGGCTTGTAACTATGAGGGATATAAGAGCTCTTATGATGTTTGGCAAGTGCACACATATCACAATGAAATGATGAAGGATTTTTATTATGAAATAACTTAGGAAACAACCTTTTTAGATAGGAAAAACTTGGGTGACCTAATCTATAGTGCATTAAATACACTTCATTATTACAAGGAAAGGAAATAGTTTGCAGACAAGTTTTTTCTTGACCTTGTTTATTCAATTGTGTTCCTTCATCAAAAACATATAGGCCATCCTCCTCTCTAGCACTGCCAATCATCCTCCCCGATGCCAGATCCTGAAAAATGCAATAAGAAGGATAAAACTTTACACAACACTGAAGGTCTTTGGTTATTTTGCTAATAGAGATAAGATTGCAGAAAAGTTTTGGAACATGTAAGACTTTAGAAAGGTTAATGGATGAGGAAATTTTAATATTTCCCATCCCTGCTATGGTTGAAAAAGAGCCATCCGCAAGTCTAACTTTCTTATCTCCTGCACAAGGTTGATATGAAGAAAAGAGATTTGGAATGTAGGTCATGTGGTCCGTTGCACCTGAGTCAATGACCCAGGTGCTTTTTGGTTTTTCAGAACAAAAAAGTGATGTTATTTTACCATTTTGGGCAAAAGAACAGGAAGGGTTTTCTTGGTTGGAGATTTTCTGGGTGGGTATAAATCGGAGTAGGTACTCTATCTGTTCCTGAGTGAAAGGTTGCTGTTTAGATTCAACTCCTTACTCTTGTTGAGTCTCAGTCACAGTAGTTTGTAGAGCCCTTTCAACTTTCTTCTTTCCGGCTCCTGGTGGTTTTCCATGAATTTTCCAGCATGTTTCCCTTGTGTGCCACAATTTTTTGCAGTGATCACACCAAGGTTTTTTCTTGTCATCACTTCTGGCCACTAAAGGTGAAGAGTCCCTAGGTTCCTCATTAGGTACTGGAGTGTTGTACATGACCCTCCTCCTGCTATCTTCCAACCTGATCTCAGAAAAGACCTCTCTGATTGAGGCCAGAGGTTTCTTTCCCAGTATTCTGCCTTTTACTTCATCTAGATTCCTATTGATCCCTGCTAGAAACATATAGACCCTATCATTCTCTTCTCTTTTCTTATGTCTAGCCAGATCCTTAGCACTCTCCCACTCTTCATCACCATAGCATTGATCTAATTCTTGCCACAGAGATACCATTTCATTGTACTATGAAATAATATCCCTATTTTCTTGTTTAGATTGCCACAGTTTGGTTTTGAGTTCAAAAATTTGAGAAGAGTTCTCAAGATCTGAATAAGTTTCCTTAATAGAGTCCGATACCTCCTTTGCAGTTTTCATAAACATATGAGGTTTGGCAATTAAGGGCTCCATGGAGTTGAGAAGCCAAGCTGTTATGAGTGAATTCTCTGACCTCCATGTACTGTACCCTTCTTCTGGAGGTAGTTTTGGTTTAATTTCTCCTGTGATGTAACCCAACTTCCCCCTCCCATCAATTGCAAGTCTGACAGATTGAGACCACTCCAGATAGTTTGTTCCATTCAATCTATGACTAGTGATTATCATAGATGAATGAATAGGAGACTGGTAATTTGTCATAGGGCTAATTTGGGAGTTAGGGTTGATAGTGTGTGAGGAATCAGCAGCACTAGTTTCTACCATTGTTTAAACCGATCTCTGATACCATGTAGGTTTGAAGAATTAATCTTCCTTGAATATTATTGAGCCATCCGGCAATGATATATATACAAGTTACAGATAAAGCCTAGTTGTTACAGATCCTAAAATATAGGATCTATCTATTCTGCGAGCTTATCTACTAAAATATAGAGAGTTCTATCTACTCTAAGTCTTATCTATACAGTTCCGGATGTACATATAATTAAAATAACAAATACATGTTACATTTTTCTACAAATATACTCATACATATACCCCAGTCCCCAGTTCAAAGATATTTTTGTATGTGTGCATGGCATTGGTAATTTGGTAATTGGTATCGTACCCCTATACATGTAACACGGATGGGTGCTATGTTTATAACTAAAAATTAAATGCTTACAGATTTTAGTGCATGCATTAAATAATGATCAGAAATGCTTGATTTTGAATCTAACTGTTGAGATTCAATCTCATAGGTTTTCAATCTCATATAGGCTAGATGACACACAATATGTGTGTATATATACTACTCTCTCCGCATAATGTTCTTTCCACTTCTTTTTCGACTGTCTAAAAAGGTTCTCACTTCACTTGTTAAAACCACAGTTTACTTTTTTAGTTTCTGTGCAAAGATCCAATGTGAAGAAATTATGGACAGGAAGTATTATATTGATAAGAAAAAGCTTATTCATTGTGCCAGATTCTATCTAAATTGTTTCATAAGCTTATAATGTTTTTATGATTCATTGTTTAAAATTTTAAACACCTAGCACAAAGAAAAACACATGCTCTTGTTGTATTTGTGATGATAATTTTCTTCAATATTCAATATTGAAGAATTTGCTTGAATGCAAATATAAGCAAAATGACATAAATACATAATGCATATGCATTGCGCACATGTTTGTGAAAATGGAAATATGTTTTTGGCTTCTAACTGTCAGTGATGACTGCTGAATAAACATTTTTTGCTTTGAAACTCATTAATTTTAATGCATAATAATGGAAACCGATGTACTTAGAAACTTAGGGTTTAGCTAATTACACTTGTGATTTGTTATTGTCTTACGGAGTATTATATAAGTAGTGTAGTAATCCTCAGAACCTGGTACAAATCAAAACATTTACCCTCTGTCCCAATGGACTTCGCCAACTATCCTTTTTTGTTCGTCCCAAAAACTTCGCCACTTTCCTTTTAAAGCAATGAATTTGTGGTTCCTCCTTATTTTTCTCTCCTCTACCCAAACCTCAACCACACAGTTTTTACTTTTCTTATGGCACACCCAACATAAAGTTGACAAAGTCCAATGGGACAGAGATAATATGAATAATAGTACTACTTTTGTCCCAACCGATGTCAGCCTAATAAACAAAAGGGTGACTCACTTTACAAAAGGGTCTGCTGACCTAAATTAAGCCAACTGCCAATTCGCACTTGTTCTCTCTTGAAGAATCTTTGTATTTTGAACACTTAAGAAATACATCTAGGCTTTAATTCCCTTAGTTTAGCACTTTCATCTTCTAAGAAATACCTTGTATCCTTTAATTGTGCTTTGTTTTCCCTTATGTGACTATTCTCTTGACTATGGGATACATGGTACTTGATTAATAGGCTAAGCCTAATCAAGCTAAACAACACATCATTTAAACATTATTATGGATCCACATTTACTTTTGTTAGGTTTGATATGCTCTATTTTAACGGGCCTTACATTTTTCTATAGAAGTCAAATCTTGATGAAGCTCTGGAGCTTTTGCGAACATCTTTGGAGTATTGCAAACAAATGCCATTGCCACTAATTATGTTTTATGATGAATTGGTTTTGACATTGAAAAGCCAGGCTATCCATCCATCCATCACAGAATGGTGTGTAAGTTGGTTTGAACTTTATTTGTTGTAATGTAGCAAGTGAAGCTAAGTTTGTGTCATCTACAGGATTGCCAAACATGTAGGAGATTTTGAATCAAAATATCTGTCAGATCTTGATGGTGGTCAGCTGCCTAATAAAGAGTTATATTGTGATTTGGAAGGTGAGTGCTACACAAGTATATAGTATATTCTAATCTGCAATGTTTGTTTTCAAATTTTGATAAAATATATACAATGATATTTTACTTTTTTATATGCTTATACAATACAGGAGAGTTGTGGATGAACCTGGATGGAGATATATCTCCTATATGTGTTAACTTCTTGCCACTTGTTTCCTCTTTATTGCGGTAATTTTGCAGATATCATGCAATTGCTTTCAAGCTGGATATATCATGTTTGTATAGACTGTTCATGATGCTTTTCTTCATGCAGGTCTGCTCCTTCATTGCAAATATTACCTGCAAATATCAATTTGCTTTCTACAGTAAGTATGTGGTTTTGGACACAGCATGCTGTAACTATGAACTGAATCCATACTTTCGATCTCAATTCTTTTGCTAGATTGAGAGATTAACAAATCAAGGATCACTCTTAGCCATTGATGCACTTCTTGGCTGCCCTTTGCACCTCCCGTCATCCAAGGTGAGTCACTGCATTTATTCTATAACATTTTATTTTGTTTTATTTGGTTATCTTTCATAGCATTTTCAACTCAACAAAATGACAATTTATGACTTGAATTTTCATTCCATTGATTATTTCAAGTTTCAATTCTAAGCTAATGGAGCTATCAGAGTAATTTCTCCCAATGACTTTAAATGTCCTGAGTAAATAATAATTAATCATACTCAATAAAAGGCACTCTCGTATTTTCTTTTGAAACACTCGTATTTTCTTTTGAAACAAAAATGTGACATCCTTGATGCAAAGTGATATATTTAACCAGTGCATTGACTCCAGTAAAGCTGTTAGTGACCATTTATATCTTTGTTCTTGTATATCATTTTTTAATATATTGGGAAAAAGCCTATTCATTAATAGAGTCCCCGTTTGGAGGTACTGATTCTGCTTATTACGATATACTACCACCGTCCCACTATCATTGGGACAAGAGTGGGTGACACGGTTATTAAGAAAAGTGAGTTTATGTGGTTGATATTGAATTGATATAATATAAAGTAAGAATAAAGTAAAAAATGAATTTTAGTGGGATTTCCCGAAAAGGAAAAATGGGACAATCTTAGTGGGACGGAGGGAGTAACAATTATGTGGTAGAACATCCCTTAATGTTAAAAATGGTCAGTGACTACTTACTAGTTCCACTTGAATTACTAATTTAATCCATGCCTGGCAGATTTTTGTGATGCATCAGTGGCAGAAAGTCATGTTAATGATGCTTAGATTTGCTTAAATTATTATTTAATCCACAACAAGGCCTACGACCATGGGTTATAAGGCAAAAGAAACACCTGCCTCAAGTGTGCAAAGGTGATCACATATCTCGCTTGAAGCGTAAGCCATGTCTTCAGATATGGATGCTAATATTGCTTGCCCAAAGGAGCAAAAGTTGTTCAAGCTTAAGCTTTGATTATCGAATACATATTCATGATGTTTCGCCTCACAATTCTTTACTTTGTCTTTCCTTCATTTTTTTCCATCCCGTTCCATCTCTTCTTCTTCTTCTTCTTCTTCAATCTGATCCGGAATCATTGAGCGTGTTCCTCTTTCTATGGGTCACATTTTTATCGCACACTGGACATATGCCAAGGCAAACTTCACCACTCTCTCCATCCACTTGAGTGCTAGACTTGATAAATCCCATTATTAATAATAAGGGGAGAATGGCCATGCAGCACATTTAAATGAATCTAATGGAGTTAATGTCGTTATTTTAATAGAACTAAGCACATTGCATTTTTATTCAAATTAGTATTATCCTTACGGATCGTCTGTTTTAAGGGAAATATGAAGGGAATGAGATTTATACTCATACTAAAAAAAGTGACATGTTTGTTAAGACCAAATAAGTACATATGAGGATGGGTATTAAGAAACCACCTGGATGTGAACTCCCTGCACATTATTACCCGGAGGAGCTGGTAATTGAGATGGGGAATTGGAGTCCATCTTATTCCCACAACCAGTCCAAACAAGGGATTGGAAAATATTTACTGAATTCCCATTAAAAATGTCTCTCCCAATCCGATCCTCTAATCTCAATTTCCCATTTATACTTTCAAGCAACCCATTAAAGTTCATCTTATGCCATGTCGGCTGCAAGATCACAATATAAATAGTGGTTACCCTAAGGTGTCCATCAAAGACCACCTGTGAGATCACAATATCATTAGTGGTTGTGGTATCTCATTGCCCTATGAATGTCCATATATTTTAGTCTGTGCAATTGAGATGATTGACAGGGAAGAGAGAGGCTGAGAGAAAGTTGCATATGAGGAGAGATGTTGGAAGAAATCAGAGGGAGGGGGAGATTACAAAGATGGAGTTGAGGTAGATGAGGCCAGCTGTGATGGAGGGTGGTATCACACAATGATCTTTTAATTTAAGAAGTCTTATGTACTACGTCCTTAAATTTTGAAAGTCTAATGTATTTACATTAACACACCCCTAAAAACTTAGGGGTATGGAAGTCAAGCACCAGATTGTTTAGATGTCTTCGAAATGGAGTACTGGACTGGAGACCATTTTACAACCAAATAACTGATTTTTTATCATTTTTTGATTTGTAACATAAACTTAGAATGTCTAGACATACTTAATTACCATCATTTTTATTGTGTTCATTAGTAGCTTGTAGTTTCTAAGTTTATGCAAGTTATTTTTCTTATTAAAGCAATACTATATATTTGTAGATCATGTATCTTACTGTTCTTAATATGATGCGATTCACGATTAAGAAAACTGATATGCTGATACATGGGTTTGCCGATTCACGATTTGGATCTCGATTCCATAACCTTGTTCTGGTGTCAGTATCAAACAGTCTTTATTATTTAATTATATTGAGTTATCAAAAGTGAATATTTTACATGTATATTGCGTCTTTTTTCCTCCATATTAGCTGCCTTTTTAATCTTTACTTAGCAACTTATGTGTTTGTTGATTTCAATACTTTATGCCATTGAACTACCAGGAGGTCCAGGATGACTTATCTATCTTTTCCCCTACTTCTTAAATTATTTTATTGAATACTGGCTTACGCCTCCTTCCCCACGGGGCTCCGCTGAAGCAGAGGCGGCTGCCTAGAGGCCCAATTTCACCTTCCAAAGCCTTTGGCTAATGGTTACTAAACTTACTACTATCTGTTTTTCACAATGATATGATGACTCCTTGCCCTTTACTCTTGTATTGGTTACACTACTGTTATGATATCATATCTCATCCAAATGCAAGACAAGTAAGACCTATCAGCTTATTTAGTCATACACACTTGGTGTCAGGTTTTTTCTGCACCTACTTGGCAGTCATTGGATGGTAATCAAAAGAGAATTGTGATTCTTTCGTTGTATTATGCTGCTAATTGGATTCGAGAACTGGTATGTATCACTCCTTGTAATTTTATTCATGGTTTAGTGTAGAGATGTCTCGCCAGTCGCCACTGTTGATATTTAACTTTTGCTCAATGACATTTAGCTCAATGCCTTCTACTCACAAGTTACAAACAGATGCAAGTGTGTAAGCCAAGAGACCAAGGACGAGACGAATATTAAACTATTCAAGCGGTTAAGGAATCTCATGTAAGCTAATATATTTTTGTTACACTTCATCTCAAGCTAAGCTATACATTTTTAATGATTTGATCTTGTCACACATGTATAAAACTCAAAATAACAACCCTTGCAACTCTTCGGATACCTTCCTTTGGAACTCTCAAACACTTCAAGCTCTCTTTGAACTTGAATGCTTCACTTTGAACACCCATAACCTTTTTCGGGAAAATGGTCAAATAGATCTTTATACTACTTCCAATCCATCACTTAAGCCGCTACAACAACAGCAACAACAACATCCAAACCTTAGTCCCAAAAGATATTGGGGTCGGCTAACATGAATCGATACATGATATCACCGCCATATTTCGATTCATGTCTTGTGATGTGACTAGGTGATACCGTTGGCCGTCACACGCCCATCACTATAGCCCCTATTACTTAAAAAAACCGATCACTCAGGCCTTTTAACCATAACAGGTTTTTATATAAAAAACTTTAAAAATTTGTTAAAATTTTAAGGAATATAAATAAAAGGTGTGGACAATTTAAGAATCTCAAAGTATATACTTTTGCATTTTTGGAATTATTTGTATATTCTACATCTTTCTAAAAGGTATTACCTTTGTCATGTGTCCTACTTTGACTTGGCACTATTATTAATGAAGTGGTTGAAAAAGTAAAAGTTGTGGCTGAGATTTGAGTATAATAAAGTGAAATATTGTAGCCCACATATTTCTTTCCAAAAAGGGAAATGACACTTATGTTGGGACAACCCAAAAGGGAAAGTAGGACATGTAAAATGGGATGGAGGGAATATTACATCTTAATTTTATATTGTAGGTTTTAGGAATTAATCTTCCTTAATATTATTGAGCCATCCGACAATGATATATACAGGTTACAGATAAAGCCTAGTTGTTTTAGATCCTAAACATAGGATCTATTCTGCGAGCTTATCTATTAATTAAAGAGCTCTATCTACTTTAAGTCAATCTATACAGTTCCGGATGTACATAAAATTAAAATAACAAATACATGTTACATTTTTCTACACTCCTCCTCAAGTTGTTAAGTATATATCATACATTCCCAACTTGCTTATAAGTAGTTCAAACACTGGTTTGAACAGCCCCTTTGTAAAGATATCATCTGTTTGTTCTTTGGTAGATATGAATGGTGTACACACAATTCCAGCTTCAATCTTCTCTTTGATAAAGTGTCTGTCCACTTCAATATGTTTAGTACGATCATGTAGCACAGGGTTGTGAGCAATATTAATGACTGCCTTATTATCACAATATAACTTCATAGGTAGTTTTAATTTCACATTCAACTCTGAAATCACTCTCTTGATCCAAAGTAGGTCACAGATTCCATTAGCCATAGATCTGAATTCAGATTCTGCACTACTTCTAGCAACCACATTTTGCTTCTTACTCCTCCAAGTCACTAGATTCCCCCCATACATAGGTACAATACCCAGATGTAGACCTTCTATCAGTTATTGAGCCAGGATATTCTGCTTCTGTAAAGGCTCCCACACTTCTATTGGACAACTTTTCAAATACCTTAGGATTCTGTAGGTAGCATCTAGATGTTTCTGGAATGGATTATGCATGAATCGGCTAACCATACTAACTGCAAAGGCAATATCTGGTCTTGTATGTTCCAGATAAATCAATCTTCCCACCAATCTTTGATATTGCTAAACATTAACTGGTACTCCTTCTTTGACATCTCCTAACTTTTGATTAGGATCAATTGGAGTATCTATTGGTCTGCAGGCACTCATACCTGTTTCATGGAGAAGGTCTAGTACATACTTCCTCTGAGATACCAAAATTCCCTTCTTTGAAGTGGCTATCTCCATGCCAAGAAAGTACTTTAATTCTCCCAGGTCTTTGATCTCAAATTCCTGAGCCAGCTTCTTCTTCAGGTGTTCAATTTCTTTATGATAGTCTCCTGTAAGAATGATATCATCCACATAAACAATTAAAATTGCAATCTCTCCCTTACTTGAGAACTTCATGAATAGTGTATGATCTGCTTGGGCTTGCTTGAATCCTTGCCTCTTTATGAATTGAGTAAACCTGTCAAACCAAGCCCTTGGGGACTGTTTAAGTCCATATAAGGCTTTCTCCAGCTTGCACACCTTTGAGCCATAATGTCCCTCAAACCCAGGAGGGGGATTCATGTACACTTCCTTTTAAAGCTTCCTATTTAAGAAAGCATTCTTCACATCTAACTGTTGACGTGACCAGTCTAGGTTAGCAGCTAGAGATAGAAGGATCCTTATAGTATTTAATTTTGCAACTGGAGCAAAAGTTTCTGTATAATCTATGCCATAGGTTTGTGTATATCCTTTGGCAACCAATCTGGCCTTATATCTTTCAAGTGTACCATCTACCTTGAATTTAGGGGTAAATACCCATTTGCATCCCACTGTTGGTTTGTTCTTGGGTAATTCCACAACCTGCAATGTTTGATTCTTTTCTAGAGCATTCATTTCCTCTAAAACAGCCTTCTTCCACTCAGGTTTAGATAGAGCTTCCTGTATGGTTAAGGGAATAGAAACAGTGAAAAGGCTAGAGGTAAAGGCTGCAAATGATGCAGATATCTGGGAATAAGACACATAGTTTGAGATAAGGTATTTAACACATGATCTTCTTTCTTTTCTGAGAGCAATTGGTAGATTTAGATCACTGGAATTATTACCTTTGTCATTTTCTGACATTGAGTCAGATTCATGAGCAGTGGCAGGATCAGAGATGTCCTCTATTCTTTGATTTGGAACTCTCCTTTCATAAACATTGCCAAAAAATTTACTTGTCTTCTGTTCATCATCTTTCCTTGTCTCAGAAAGTTTTATTTCATTTTCTTTTGATTCTTTACTATTTTCTAGTGCCTCTAACTGTCTATTATGTTGTGCATCTAGACTAATGTCAAGAAATTCAAGTTTTTTGATGGATATGTGACACATTATTACCATCTTCATTAGAATTCTCCCCCTGAAGATGAGTACTAAAAAGTGATTGATTTTCAACAAAAACAATGTTCATTATTACAAACATCTTTTTTGTTGTAGGGTCAAAACATTTATAGCCTTTCTGTGTTGAAGATAGTCCTAAGAAAACACATTTTTGCCTCTAGGGTCAAATTTGCTTGCAGTTCTGTCAGGGTTGGTAACAAAAACTGTGCAGCCAAAAATTTTTATGGGAAGAGAGTTTATAAGCCTAGTTTCAGGAAAACTGGCTTGAAGTGTATCAATAGGAGTTTTAAATCCTAGAGTCTTTGATGGCATCCTATTAATTAAATAGGTAGCATGTAAAACAGCTTCTCCCCATAAATATTTTGGAACTCTAGCAGAAAACATAATTGCATGAGTGACTTCAAGCAAATGCCTATTTTTCCTCTCGGCTATTCCATTCTGAGCAGGTGTATTTATACAGGAACTTTGATGAATAATCCCTTATTCAGCAAAAAAATTATTTAAATTTTTAGAAAAATACTCAAGGCCATTATCACTTCTCACAATCTTGATATTAGTATTGAATTGAGTCTGAGCCATTCAGTAAAATTTCTTGAACACATCTTCAACCTCATATTTTTCTTTAATAAAAAAACCCATGTGACCCGTGTGTGATCATCTATGATAGTTACAAACCACGTTTTTCCTTTCAAAGTTGAAACTCTAGATGCACCCCAAATATCATTGTGTACAAGAGTAAAAGGACTAGTTGGTTTGTAACTATGAGGGATATAAGAGCTCCTATGATGTTTGGCAAGTGCACACATATCACAATGAAATGATGAAGGATCTTTATTATGAAATAACTTAGGAAACAACCTTTTTAGATAGGAAAAACTAGGGTGACCTAATCTATAGTGCATTAAATATACTTCATTATTACAAGGAAAGGAAATAGTTTGCAGACAAGCTTTTCCTTGACCTTGTTTATTTAATTGTGTTCTTTCATCAAAAACATATAGGCCATCCTCCTCTCTAGCAATGCCAATCATCCTCCCCGATGTCATATCCTGAAAAATGCAATAAGAAGGATAAAACATTACACAACACTGAAGGTCTTTGGTTATTTTGCTAATAGAGATAAGATTGCAGGAAAGTTTTGGAACATGTAAGATTTTAGAAAGGTTAATGGATGAGGAAATTTTAATATTTCCCATCGCTGCTATGGCTGAAAAGGAGCCATCTGCAACTCTAACTTTCTTATCTCCTGCACAAGGTTGATATGAAGAAAAGAGATTTGGAATGTAGGTCATGTGGTCTGTTACACCTGAGTCAATGACCCAGGTACTTTTTTGTTTTTCAGAACAAAAATATGATGTAATTTTACCATTTTGGGTAAAAGAACAGGAAGAGTTTTCTTGGTTGGAGATTTTCTGGGTGGGTAGAAATTGGAGTAGGTACTCTATCCTTTCCTTTGTGAAAGGAAGCTGTTTAGATTCAACTCCTAACTCTTGTTGAGTCTCAGTCACAGTAGTTTGTAGGGCCCTTTCAACTTTCTTCTTTCCAGCTCCTGGTGGTTTTCCATGAAGTTTTCAGCATGTTTCCCTTGTGTGTCACAATTTCTTGCAGTGATCACACCAAGGTTTTTCTTGTCATCACTTCTGGCCATTAAAGCTGAAGAGTCCCCAGGTTCCTCATTAGGTATTAGAGTGTTGTACATGATCCTCCTCCTGCTATCTTCCAACCCGATCTCAGAAAAGACCTCTCTGATTGGGGCCAGAGGTTTCTTTCCCAGTATTCTGCCTTTTACTTCGTCTAGGTCCCTATTGATCCCTGCTAGAAACATATAGACCCTATCATTCTCTTCTCTTTTCTTATGTCTGGCCAAATCCGTAGTACTCTCCCACTCTTCATCACCATAGCATTGATCTAATTCTTGCCACAGAGATACCATTTCATTGTAGTATGAAATGATATCCCTATTTCCTTGTTTAGATTGCCACAGCTTGGTTTTGAGTTCAAAAATTTGAGAAGAGTTCTCAAGATCTGAATAAGTTTCCTTAATAGAGTCCCATACCTCCTTTGCAGTTTTCATAAACATATGAGGTTTGGCAATTAAGGGCTCCATGGAGTTGAGAAGCCAAGCTGTTATGAGTGAATTCTCTGACCTTCATGTACTGTAACCTTCTTCTTCAGGTAATTTTGGTTTGATTTCTCCTATGATGTAACCTAGTTTTCCCCTCCCATCAATTGCGAGTCTTATAGATTGAGACCATTCCAGATAGTTTGTTCCATTCAATCTATGACCAGTGATTATCATAGATAAATGAATAGGAGACTGGTAATTTGTCATAGGGCTAATTTGGGAGTTAGGGTTGATAGTGTGTGAAGAATCAGCATCACTTGTTTCTACCATCGTGTTGTTTAAACCGAATCTCTGATACCATGTAGGTTTTAGGAATTAATCTTCCTTAATATTATTGAGCCATCCGGCAATGATATATATTCCGGTTACAGATAAAGCCTAGTTGTTTCAGATCCTAAATAATAGGATCTATTCTGCGAGCTTATATATTAATTAAAGAGCTCTATCTACTCTAAGTCTTATCTATACAGTTCCGGATGTACATAATTTAAAATAACAAATACATGTTACATTTTTCTACATATATTTTTTACACTTTCAATTTATTTTTTCCATTTATCTATTTTTATATTATTTTAATGTGCTAAAATTATTTATCTATTTTTGCACTTATACTATTTTTATATCATTATTACATTATTTTTCAAATTTATGTAATTGTTTATAAGATTAATCAATGGTTTAATTTTTTTAATATAACCTGCTATAGCAGGTTAAAATCGCCTAGTTGAGTGTGTTTTTGAAGTAATCGCACTCATATGATTTTTTTAGTACAAGGACTTAAGTGAGTGATCGGAAATAGTAGAAGGGTCTATTTGACACTTTTCCCAACTTTTTTATATGCTCACATAGGAGCATCCTTCAACATCTTTGGTTCTCTCTTATTTTTTCTGCACTAGATTCCTTTTTCTCTCTCCATTTATATTACTCCCTCCGTCCCATAAAGAAGTTCTCGTTTCTGTTTACGATTTTTGTGACGATAAAGCAAGTCGATCCGTGTCAACACTCAGATAACTTTTAGTAAATAAAGTTTAAATATTCAGAAACTACATTAAAAATTCTACAAAGTCGCAAAAAGAGAATTGAAATTTCATAACAATTGATATATAAAGTAAAGGATTAAGAGTGATTTAAGTTGACCAAGTAAATAGTGAACATGAACTTCATTTTGGGACAGAAGTAGTACTTTTTTGGATGCAATTATTATGCTGCCTTTGAGATTTGTTTTAACTCTTTTGGGACTAATTCTCAGATGTTGTGATTTGTTTTCAACAAGCAGAGCGAAAACCGAAAAATATAAGATTTTTTGACCTAAATTAGTACTGGCAGTAAAAAAGTGTGTCAGAATGTACCCGTTCCCCAGAAAAGAGAGCTTTAATACCATGTTGAAGATCAGGGATAACACAACACAAAAGCACCTTTTGTTATACTTAACACACTCACTGCACAACATGGGACACCTTGCACTGAAAAGATATTCTTCAGCAGGTTCATTGTTGAGAAAATGATAAAATATAGAAGTGGTTGCCTTTTAAAAAAGTTGCTCTCCTATTGCTGTTTAAATTAGTTTGGATATGCATTATCCTATAAATCATGAAGATAATTATATATATATAGGAATGATCCTTTCCAGCCAGAGGGACAGGATCCTCCGTCCAGCCTCCGCCGTTTGGGGTGTTTCCCGGTGAAATTTTTTGATGAATTTTTTTGGGAATGTTCCTCATCCAGTCTAGTTTATCCACACAAAAATTCAGCTAAAAATTGGATCAGGAAAGCAGTCAAATAATTTTTGGAAGATAACTGCGCCAAATTAAACATATAAAATGCAGTTATTTTAAAAAATTTATTTGACTGCCTTCCCTATCGAATGTTTAGCTGACTTTTTGTGTGGATACACTAGACTTGATGAGGAACATGCCCAAAAAATTTCATCAAACAATTCCACCGAGAACCACCCCAAACGGCGGCGGCCGGACGGAGGATCCTGTCCCTCCGGCTGGACAGGATCTTTTCCATATATATATGTATGTATGTATGTGTATGTATATATATATATATATATATATATATATATATATATATATATATATATATATATATATATATATATATATATATATTCTGAACTCTGTTAAGGTTATCTTTGCAAAATTAAACTATCGACCACTGTGAGGATTTCCTCTAAGATTCACGTGTGTTCAATTGTTTAAATTGCAGATTCTTGGAGAGCTTGCTAAACAATTGTCTCAGACATTACCCATTATCCCTGCCAGAACTCTGCCCTCTGGATCCTATATCACTGAGCTCATTTCAGCACACTAGGTCTAGGAATTATGACAGGGGCAAAGAGTTTACTAAACATGAAGGAATTTCATCACAAAGTAAAGGAAAGAACAAGAAAAAGACCCCAAATGTATCAGCAAGCTCAAAACAGGAACACCTGAAGCAGCAAACTATAACAGATATGTTGAGAAAAACAAATGTTATGCCTAGCCCAGAAGGGATAACTGACGATATATCTGGAATCTGCTCAAAGGGAAGTATGCCAGAGTTGTGTGGGAGTAATCAAAATAACCTCATTTCCCCATTTAACATAGATATATCTTCCGCTGCAAAGTTACTTGAACCTCAGAGACACAAGTTCAGACCTCTTCTACCCGAGTGTTTTTCCATATTTGTATCATCGAAGGTAACCTTTAGTTTTTGTACTTGTTTACTTATTGATTATAGTTCTGTTTTTGAATCAACATTGCTTTGGGTATGGCCGCATCTGAGAGTATAACTAAGAATGTTTTCCGCACAAAGAATTTTAGAAAATAGATAAATTTTTAGGAACCCTTTAATTCTTCTAAATTTATTTTTCTTCGGAATTCATGATGACATCGGTAGTAGGGGACATTGGGATGATAGTGGCGGCAATGGTTATAGGTGATAAAGATGATGGTAGTGGCAGAGTGGTGACAGTTGCGATAGCGGTGACCAGTTAGACGGTGGCATTAAGCGATTATGGTTCTGCAATGATGGCAATAGTGCTGGATTGGGTGTAGTGATAGTAGAATTGTGATAGCATTAATGGTTGTGCCGATAGTGATCACAATTGGTTGATACTTGATAGCAGTGATAATTGGTTAAACATTCTGCGAATGTCTCTCCAACAACAAGGGAACTCAAATTCCATATATTGGGCGAATTGATTTACTTTGGAAGCCAATTTCTACCGACTCCATTTTCATTTGCTAACCAAACACATCAAAATTTGGAAACTGACTTATGGGTGTCATTCTTTGAGCTCTCAAATTGAGCCCAAGTGAGATGAGTTTTTCTTTTATTCATCTTAGATTACACAACATCTAATCCACTAGAACATGTGGACAACAATTGTGGGTAAATATTATAGTTATTTCCTAAGTAACACAGTTCTTGGGTAGGTGTGGACGTGTGGTGGTCTTGTACCGAGAAAATATGAGATACCAATAGTCTCACAAACTCTCTCATGGTCATGTGTCTCTACTATTTCACTGTGTATAACCTACATAAGGAAAGCATCTTGTTTTCCCAAGGTACAACCTTTTCTACACAGTTTTTTTTAAACATTACTCCTATCTTTTTTAGACAGAGGGAGCACTAGAAAACTGCTTATAGTCTAGTGGTTAGTGTACACATTGTCAAATATGTGCTTTTGACCAAAGGTTTTCAAATGCAGGATCAAGGCTCATGCTGTATGGATCCAGCTGCTGAGGTGATTGTCTTTTCAGTTTTGGTTGCTTACATTTGAATACATCAGAGTTGCTTTTGGTATTTGTATTTGGGAGGAAATAGATGAATCTGCCTCCACAAACGCGGCCTTGTGGTATTTGTATATGTGCTTAATTAATATTTGCATATATACCTTGACAAGGATGTATTTAGGAGGCAGTAGATGAATCTGCCTCCACAAATGGGGCCTTCTGGTATTTGTATATGTGCTTCATTAATATCTTTGGATATATTTAACTTTTTCTCTTTGATGGATGTAGTTACCACTTCATCTTTATCTCATACGTGATCTTAGCAAAAAGCTGGATTACTTTAGTCCCGAACAGAAACAAACAGCGAAATGCACAAGTCTCCCACCCAGTCTGGGCTGCATGAATGTAATGGACTTCTTAAATGATGTTCGCTTGATGTTTCCCTCTCTTAAAAAAAATCTTGATCTGGTGCTTTGTATTCTTAGAGAAGGTATATAAACATTAATTAATGACATCATTGCTTTGAAAAGATGACTTAGACTTTCCAACTTACACAAACTTTTTATAGATACTGAAATATGTCAAGATCATTGGAAAGTTCAATCCGCTGCGTCTGGGAACCCAGATGTTACAAGCATTCTTTGTTCCACACCAAAAGTTTCCTACAGTGTTTTTAAGGAGACACTTTGCTGCTTTGCAAAGGTAAATTTTTTATTAGATGTTTTTCACACATGCATTATTCTGCTTCCTGAAAATAAGACTTTATCTTGAGGCTTACCCCCTTGTTTGGGTGAACTGGAGGGAGAAGACCACAAAGTAAGAAAAAGAGTAAATATACTAATTACTAAATAAGTATGCATTTCAGTTCTTGTTAATGAAGCTGTATATTAATCGCCTTTCCTCTTTCATTTTTCTGTATCCCATTTTCTGGATCTGGCTAGTTCAGATGGTAAAAATTCCAGAGATTCAGAGGGAAACACTATTCCTAATGGATCTATTAGAGGCCTTCCAGCCAACAAGAATTCCAGATTGCTTCTTTCTGGGCGTGCAACATATTCCCTCTCCTGGGAGCATAGGTTATCTATATTCTGGTGCATATTCTTTCATTGAAGGATCATTTAATGCAGGTATGTAGCTGACTTACTGTTGTTTCCACTTAAACTATTATCTTTATTTTCTTAGGATATCTGGAATTTACTACATGACTATTTCCATGGCAGCAAGTACTATTTCTTTTACACAATCTACAGAGGTAGTGCTAACTTTAGAAGCAATAATATTATCAATCCGGAAGATTGTAGATGGAGGTTTAGACGAAACTGGGAAAAACATTCAAAAAGGATTTACGGAAGAGTTTATCCCATTCTTATGCAAAAAGCTGGGTACCTCTGCCAAAGAACTCTTGATTCAAAAGTATGATAGTAGAAATATCGAAGAGGATTCGAAAACCAGAGTATGCATATCCATCTTTTGTTTTCAACTACACGAGCCAATTGTACTTCAAGGTGCAGGTTGTGACTCTTTGCTTATGATTTTTCAGCGAGAACTTGTCCAAAAGATTCTTCGCATTTACTTGGAAAATTGCCAATCCACATATGATTCTCTTGATGAGCTTGCCTGCTTAATCTCATCCCAGGTGCATAAACATTACACGTTCTTACTTCTTACTGGTCACTGAAAGATGTATTAGTATTGTTACCACTGATTTTGTTCTTACTTAACTCATAACTGTTTTAAAATGGGGGTAATCTTTGTGGTATATCTCTAACTTTTTGAATAGCTAGGTTGATGATTGCCAATAAACTAGAACTTTATTACGGTATCCTACATAGCACGTATGGTTTCTGATTACTCGGACACAGCTTCCAATTTCATAGTATTTTTGTGAGTTTTGGGAATAAAGTTCCTTGATTTCATTAAGCCATTCGGCCAGAATATATATACACTTGTACAAGTAACAAACTCCCAGTGGAGATCCTAAAAAATAGGATCTAGCTAACTACGAACTTATCTAATAATAAATGAAAGCAACAACCTCTAAGACTTATCTACACGGCTGCATATACACTAAGTCTAATAAATAACAATTAATGTAACATTTTCTACAATTTTCTTGTATCTAGGTGGCTTCTCACAGAAGTCAGGAAGAAGATAGTTGTAGCTTTCCAAGCCTCTGTCCCACAACGTTCATTGCTTGGTATCGGGTGATGGTGAGAAGTCTAAAGTTAATGATTATGTATCGATACATTTATGCCAGACAGATTGACTCAGAGTGTTTTGTTACTACAGCATGAACAGAATGTTGTGGCACTAAATAGATTGGTGGGTTGGTGTTTTTAAATTACCAGAGCATTAAATATAGTTATCATTCTTTTTACAAGTGATATTGAAGTCGAATCTTATGTATTTAGGTAAAGGAAGTTTGTCAACTGGAAAAATCCAAAGCAGGTGCCAATATGGAAGATGTGGAACACCTACTGAACAGGCTGCTGCAATCTGTTAATATTGTGGTGTTGTTAGTTAGCATGTGTAAAACTCATGATAAGGTACTATCCTTCTCTATCCATTCCCATTTGTTAATCATGCATAACATGACTTAGTCTGATTAATAATTGCGGAACAGGTTGGTGTTCATGCAACGGCTGTCAAGTTCAGCGGGAAGTTTTTTGATTCCTTCCTTAAAGGTATAGCTTATGAAGTTCTATGTCTTGAACTTAAGATCAGGTAACTAAAATTGACCCCCCTTTCCCAGTTTTTGGTTTTTTGCAGGCTCAATTTCAGTTGCATGGTGAACGAATAATCCAACTGGTGAGGTTTGTTATTATTTTATTAAAAGGAAGTATTTACTCTATAAGTAAAAATTGATTTGCTTCTTATAAAAAAATTCATAGGTTAAAGAACTTCAGAAGGCAACAAGAACCATACAGACACTATGCTCTGAAGCAAAGGTTCACACTATGATTACAAATCGTTATACTAGGAATTAATATGCAGTGTTGTTTATTAACAGTAAGTACTGTTGATTGTGATTGTGCCGGGTGCAGGGCATGAAGCGAACTGCTATAACAAGCAATGTTCCATATACAAAGAGATCTATGGAGCGCTTCCTCTTTCACGTCAAGGCTCTCCTTCATTCAAAAACAAGTGGATGCACTTTTTGGATGGGTAAGTGAGGCTATGTTGTTATTTAAAGTTCTCATAGCACTTGAAAATATGCATGGTTCCTTTGATTATATACACTTCATTGCAAAAGCCATCATCTTATCTTAACGGGTTATCCATAGACCATAGTACTACGTATATATTTTACCTGTGCGTTTCAAGATCTTGGTGATTGGTTCATCGTGTTTTACAAGTGGAGCCTTTATCGTGCTTATGTAAAGGATCGTGTACCTTTTCAAAACAATTGAAAATGCAAGGACATTTTGTAATCAAATGAGGATGATGAACCTCTCAGTGTAAGGGTAATAGGCAGTGGGCGAACAGTTGTTAGCCATCCCTTCACTAGTTCACTCTGATTTCTGCTTTTGCACTAGAAAAACTAACTTCGTCTTTCATTTTTACTGAATTTCATTCTTCAATTGGACAATCTACTGGTCAAAACCACAACTACAATATGCTAACAATTGATTGCCAAAAAAAATGTTGTCCTGAAATTGGGAAAAAAGTTCCTTGTGGTAAAAGGGCCTTCTATATCTTATATATGGGACTAAAGCTGCAAACTCACCCTTTTCTCTGATGGCGCAGGAAACTTAAAACATAAAAACTTGTCCGGGGATGTAGTGAGTTCCCAAGCATATATAGAGAAGGATGAGAATGAAGAAGTGAATGATGATCATGCTGAAAATACAATGGATGATCAACCGGAAGCTTGATGCTAATGATTAATTATTGGACAGACCTAAAAAATGTAAGTCTTGAAAAAACTGTCTTTTGCTTGCTGTTTTTGTGAAGCAAGATAAACAATGGGCCAAATATTGTTGTAGAAGCCATATTTTCCTTAGCTATTGTACTTCATTTCTCTGTAAATAGCATGGAAACCATGTTTTAACTCCTTTTTTAATACCAAACACAAATCCCGTCTTTAGAAGCTTTTGAGGAATTGAGGATAATAAAAAATGGCATGTGTTTTATTTTACCCTTAGGGGTAGGCTTGGACTCGGTGCGGGCCATCCAGCCCGGGAACCGGCCCGGCCCGGGAAACCGGGTCCGGTTCGGGCCTAGGCCCGGGGGGTCTACCGGTTCTGGGCACGGGTAAGGGAAAAGGAGAACCGGCCAGGCCGGGCCCGGTTCGGGCCTTTTTATATTTTTTTTTTGATTTTTTTGGTTTGGGCTGGGGTTAGTTGGGCTGGGCTGGGTATTTCCGAGGGGTTTGGGGGGTTTGGGGGGGATGGGGGGTGGGGGTGAAATAAATAAGAATCAAAAAAAAAAAAAGAACCGGAACTGGCCCGGCCCGGCCCAGCCCGGAACCGGTCAAGACCCGGGCCGGTCTCGGGCCTATGGATACAGAACCGGCGGGTCGGCCGGGCCCGACCCGGCCCGAGTCCAAGACTACTTCGGGGGCGTTTGTTGTAGACTTGTAGTGCTAAGTAATCATTTTACGTGTAAATTGTAGGGATGCAAACAGTTTACACTTTTTGGTAGGATTATTCAATGTACTGTAGGGTATTATTTTAAAATATTTTACAATGTATCATGTAAAATACTTTACATGCGGAGAGTGGTAAAATACTTTAATGGGGTTTCATGATTACTTTCACCTTTTCAATTTAGTGCAAAAAAAACTTTGGTACTTAGTCAAATGTTTATCATGCATTTTAAAATTTTAACTTGAATGAATACTCTCGGTGTAAGTTATATCCTACATTCAATGTATACAAATTTAATGATCGAAAATCATGATTGTCATTTAACATTACACATCAAAAGTAGTACTTATGTTCTTGTTCTTAAATAGTTGCAACATTACATTTTTTCTAAAAAGATATTTGTACTCGCTCTTATACTCACTTTTATTCTCATCATGTATGTGAAAGAGTTTATACTGTTTGTGAATCCCGTTCACACAAAAAATACTCCGTATGTCTTATTTTGTTTGTGCACATTTTTCACAGACAAAATAAGACATATTTTGTCTGTGAACTGGATTCACTAACAAAAAGAAAACTTCAGAGACATGGTGGGTATAATATGGGGGTATAAGGGCGGGTACAATAAAAATGATTGAGAATTTTTACATTATTGACATGCTTCACTTAGACTACATTTTATTTATGAATGATTTTTAAGAAATGTATATTTAAATTGTTCTTATCTTAAATTTTCAAAATTTGATTTTGTTTTTACAATTAGGAAATTAAACATATTAAAGGTCAAAGTTGTATGTTGGCAAATATGAGAATCGAAGCGTTGAAATTAAAAAAGAATGAAGAAAGTATACAATAATGGTAAAAAAATTAAAAAATTTGCTTCATTGTTTAGAAATTTATAAGTTATGTTCTACACAGGACTTGGATTTTCATGTTGTGTGGAGTATTTCACAATTATAAAATGTATTTATCATATATTCATATATTTAACTTATCTTGGAGACAAATTTGGTGTCCTTTATGCTTGTGGGCTTGAAAATAAGGTCGACAATATTGCTATTGGTAAGAACATTGGTAGTTTACATTAATAGAAATATAATAAAAAATTTGATATCATTATTTACATATTGGAGTTTAAAACATTTTCACTCTATCATAAAAAATACATTTTTACTCTTATGTTAAGCATAACATTTTGACATATATTTCGTATAACATCTCGATTATAAACGCATTGATAGTAAAATATATAGGCGACTGCTTATCGTAGTGTATAATAATCACTTAAATCTGTGACATTCATTGAAAAAATTCCACTTTTGGTCCCATGATTATTATACCACTTCCACATTTAGGGGTGTTTGGATTTGATTCTTAAAACTGCTTCTGCTCTTTCAGGGAGCAGAAACAGAAGTTGGAGTGTTTGGGTAAAAGTGCAGAAGTGATTATGGTGCTCTAATTTACTCCTAGAATCAATTTTTTAGAAGCTGGGGGTGACCAGCTTCTGAAAACTGATTCTGATTCTGCTTTAAAACAGAAGCAGAATCAGAATCAGTTCCAAACACCCTCTTAGTCCCTTATTTTCAGATTGTCCACATTTAGTCCGTGACCATTATCCTGTCACCATCCCTCGTCCTTCCGGCCAAAATTCTGGCAAAATTGATGCAGTTTTTAGGTATGAAAAAACAAATTTAATGTAAAGATTGATATGAAAAACCGAACCTTATATAAAATTTAATGCAAAGATTGATTCTGAGGCTGATAAGTTGCTAAATGTGGAAGTGGTATAATACTCATGGGACCAACAGTGGAATTTTTTCGACATTCATTAATCAAAGTTGGTTTCAAATTTGAAATTTATAGATATTCCATCAAATTGTGAAAATATTATTGCGTATTATTTTTGTTTTAAAAAAATGACTTTAATCGATACAGAGATTGTATGGATCGGATTCAAGTATCAATAATTTTTTGTTTTTGTGACATTTTTCACACGAACATAGGGTGGACGTAATTCTCATTTCGGAATCAGATGACCTAAATCCGGTTAGGAACTCAGATTTAAGGGATAGGTTAGGAACCATACCTAGAAAAGATGCAGTTTGAGACTTCGAATATGATTTCCATTCTTCCAAATGTGATAAGATTGACTAGTTCTGGTAATTAGGATATAGAGACCATTTTGACATTTAAACGGACCAAGATTTGGACTGAGTAGTGAGTACTGAATTTTCATTGGAATTCATTTTCCACAGGGATGGACTAAACCGGGCCGCCCCGACCCGGAAACGGCCCGGCCCGTTACTGTTTGGGCCCAGACCAAACCGGAACCGGTTGGCCGGTTCCGGGCTTTTAGCCCGTTTGGGTGGGTCAGGCGGGCCGGGCTCGGGCCCAACTTTTGGTGAACCGGCCCGGTTCAATTTTTTTTTGCTTTTTCAATTTTTTTTTTGCTTTTCTAGGGTAGGGTTGAGTGTTTTGGGGGGGGGGGGTTTGGGGGGGTCGGGTGTTAATTAGAAACCAAACAAAAAAATTGAACTTGACCCGGGCCCGGCCCGGCCCGGCCCGGTTAGACCCGGATCCGGAATCAACCCAGGCCAGTTCCGGGCCCAACATTTTGCAAAAAAAGCCCGCCCGGGCCCGGCCCGGAACCGGAACCAGACCGGCCTGGGTCCATCCCTAATTTTCCATTCCTGAGTGGGGGTGTGATATCAGGTTTTAACTCAACACCAGCACCCTTTTTTAGGTAAGTAATCAGTTCATCTTCCTCTATGGATATCATTATATCAATCTATGGTGGAACACTTACCAGGCCATGCAGGATTTGCTGTTTGTTACTCAGGAACCAAATCCGTTCCGGGTTTTTGGCCCAAAACCGGTACATGGTAGTCGATACAAGCGGGCCCAGACCTAATCAAGTCTCAATTCCAGCTTCTCCCAAAAACAACAGGATTGGTTTCATTATTATTTTAAATAGCTTATATATTTAGCTATAAGCTAATGATATACTCCTTGTTAGACTAGTTGAAAGTGAAAATATCAGTATATTAGCGGAGGTACTTCAACCATTACTTCTGAGTTCCGACTAATGAAGTCAATTTTATCTATAGAATAAAAAAATCACTTCTTGTTTGAATTTTGAAACAACTAAATTGGTAATATTGACAATCAGATTATCAGACCTTACTGCAGTTTATATGGTGACGCTAACTTTACCGATTTGACTTCACCAAACTTCTAAAAAAGTGGTGAAAGCAGACAAAAACGACTCATTACCAAAGATAGAGAAAACATAACTACTCCGTATATTACCACAACATAACTACTCCGTATATTACCAAAACATAACTACTCCGTATATTACCATTTACCATCTTCAAGAAATGAAGACTACATCAACCACATTAATACCACATCATTTATATTACCACCTGGGAAAGTTTTCATCTGAGGAACCAAGAACTTCAGTCCAGCTGCATTAACCTACTTAGTAGACCTTGGTGGTCTGATGGAAACCGCAGAAGTGCAGTCTTTTGCCCAATGACCAGCTCCACCACACTTAAAGCATGAAGTCAAGGTGGTTGATTTCCCAGCTCCATCAGCAGCAGGAGATGACAGCGGAACAGAGTTCACACATTCTTTTGCCCAATGTCCTTCCTTCCCACATTTGAAACAAGCCACTGAATTATTATAACTTTTGTTGCCCATACTACCCATACTCAGGTGAACCTGAGGAGTGTTCTGTGGCTCTGGTATGTTTGTCATTTCATTACACCATTTGAAAAACCCACAGCTTTCCTACAAAAACGCCAACTCATAAGTTGAAGGTTAATCAAACAAAGAGGATAAGATTAAGTTGCCTTTGATCCTTGTGGTAGTACAATATTTGAAGTGTATAGCTATGTCATACAAAAATATAATCCTTAATCAACATACAAAATCCTAGGGGGGAGGGCTTGGGCAGGCCAATAGGAAATCCTGGAAGGTGAAGGATCAAAAGCAAAGAAAATTGCACATTTGCATACCACTTCTTGGATTTTCATTGAGTGTGACTTTTGTTGTCATTTCATTTTCCAACTTGAAGCAGATTTGTTTTTAAAAAAATTATTAGGTTGAAATATTACAGTGCACCAACATAGAGTGGTTGTAGTGTATATGCATTAATCCCTCAACTCCAGGAGATTTAACAAAAGGCCAAAAAGAATGTTACTTGTCACAGACAATTTATAGTGTGGCACTTGACCACCTCGATGTTTCTCATGCATCCCATTTTATTATTGTATCGACATATATTGATAGGTCAAAGTGTCAAACCATTATGTTCATAGTGATTTTACAATATCAATGTTGTTGCAAGGTGACTAAGGCTTGGGTGTTGTGGTTGTAATGTTGTTGTAAGGGGGCGTGATCACAGGGAACTCTCAATTCATCACCCTTTCATGATACTTTTCCTTGGAAACAGAAAAAAACATATGACGATGGGTTTGGGATTTCATCTCATTTGTCAGAAGAAATGAAATATATTGATAGAGCAGGGAGAGCGGGGTGTTGTGCGGAAGAGGAGGGTCCGAGATCCAGGCCTCTCTGTCGGTTTACTGCAGGCGGGGACGGGCTTGAGCCCACCTTCGTGGGCTGGCTGCGGGACGTTTAATTAATTTTTATTCTTTATAATTTTCCTGATTTGTTTCATATTTGGAGTTAATTAGGATTTCTATTATTTGTTTCCTATTTGGAGTTAATTAGAATCTCTATTATTTTGTTTCCTATTCGGAGTTAATTAGAATTTCTATGATTTTGTTTCCTAGTTTGGGAATTAGTAGATGGCTTTTTAAACCCCTTGTTAGGATTCATTCTTGCTTATCAGTTAATAAAATTGGATTTCAGCCTATTGGCTCTGGGCAACGGTTTCTACCGTCGATTATTACTGGGCAACGGTTTCTACCGTTTATTTTTATTTTCCGTTCACATCATATATCTAGCATAATTCTGTCAATTAGTTTCAATGATGGTGATTATCCTTTGTAACTGATAAAGATGACGATAAATAGAACAAGTTTACAAACTACATTTTAATCTAAACTATTTGTCATTATTTGGTAAATACATCCATTGACTACCTACAGTTAACAACTAATCTAATGCTTGTACAGTGGAACCTTGCACCTTTGGATCGATATTGGAATTGATGTATCTTCTAGTAATCTAATACAATTCAGCACAAGAGGTTTCACCTAAATAGCACTATAAGAGATTCTCAAAGAGAAATTTGTTGTGAGGGTCTTAGTTTCTTTTCAGACCCGGGTCGAAAAGAGTCATACTTAGATTTTAGATTGATATTTTTGGTATTAGAAATACCAAACCTTTTTCGAGGTAGAGAGTACTAACTATATCCAGTGTCAAATTTTGCAGCACTTATCTGTTTTTATCTCATTTCCTGAAACCACCACTCATTGTCATCACCACCGGAAACCACCACTTCCAGATCATGGTAATGTTTATGTTTGCTTGTGTTAATAAGAAGTACTCTGTATTTTTTAATTTAAATAAAAAATCAACTGTAAAAGGTGTAGTTTTTCAAAATAAAAGTGATATTAATAAAGTAAAAGTTGGAATGTTTCATGAAAAATTGCTTTTTGGTGCATTTTTTAAGCAAAAAAAGTGAAAACATTTTTTAAAAAATGCTTACAGTTAAGGAGAAGCACTTATTTGAAGACCATGCTTTTACCTTTTTTAAGCATAAAAGTCCTTTTTAAAGCGATGGCAAGCACTCAAATATATGTTTTCAAATAGAAAAACAACAAGATGTGACTAACAATATTCTAAGTGGACTGAAGGTATGCAGCAGAAGTAAGTACAAGGAAAAACCGCAACCCCTTCATCAAGGCCTCTTCCCTTTGCACCCAAAACAGTCTGATAAGTTGAGACTTGAGACATGCAAGTGTATGGGTAAAATGCAAAGTACGATGTTATGCTTCAGAGCTCTTGAGCATTTCAAGAAAATAAAGCCTATGCATGTAAGTATGAAGCAGAGGACATGAATAGATAATGCATTCAAACCATGTTTGCTTTTTGTACCTGACTAGGACAACGATAGAATTGCTGGCCAATGTTTTTCCCTGTCTTTGCTGTGAGAACAAGACAAGGACCAGCACCACATGGACAAGACAGTTCGAGGATTGAAAAGTTTGTGGAAGACTTGCTTTGGATCGCTATGTGATGGGTAAATAAAGGCTTGTCACACCACTCAAAGAAGTCACAACCTCCATTATCCTAATCAAGGTCATCATCATCAAATCAGAAATGCGAACTATAGATACAATCAAGAAAACAAATTCATTCAGTAATACGCATATAAGCATGGGCATAGATAGGGGGCCAACCCGGGTCCGGGACTCACCCTTAGTTCAGGATAAACCTTTTTTCATGTAAAGACTTTCTAGTATAAAATTATACAAAGTATAAATTTGAAGGTCCTGGCTAGATGAGACCTCTACAACTGTTAAGTGGCTACACCACTGGAGTTAAGTGGTGTAATAATGGGATATCAACTTAATAAGAAAACATCACATGTCAGAAACAAAAGTAAATTACATAATATCCTATGTGTATAATATATTACTGCATATAAACATTGAGAGCTTGTCTAGACAACGCTACAAGTACAACCCATTTAGAAAGAAAAGGAATAACTACTGCCTTAAGGGGTCCAGCTATTGGAATAAGGATTGCAAGTAAACAAGGCTTCAACTATTGATATAAATAACACACATGAGAAAAATGAAATGGGATATGACAAACTGCACTGATGCAAGGTAAACACATTTATCATTAACAACCACGTTATGATGGAACCTACAAATTTCAATGGAGGTGCACATATGACAAATATATTTATATACAGTGTTAAGATTCATCTAGCATTCCATTGAGAATAAAACAAATATCAGAAAGTAAACCTACAGACGATTGCAACATTCGTAATCCCAAAGCTTCAGGCTTTTAAAATAAGGAATCCATAAACTACATTAGGGTGCCTTGGTGGAATTGGGGCACTCGCAAATCATTATGCGCATGCGAGGAAAAGTGCAAAAAAGGCACACACATGTACATCACGCAAACACTACAACTGACCTGCCTGATAGGACATTTGTAGAACTTCCGACCACGGTTCTTATCAGTGTTGGCTGTGAGGATGATGCAATTTCCAGACCCGCACGGGCATTTCTTTTCAGGGAAACTCCCAGAATCATTTCCATCATTCACTGGACCAGCACTGCAATCGCGTGCCCAGTGGCCAGATTTGCCACACTTGAAGCACGTATTACCAGAATCAGACGAAGGAAATGAAGAGTTGCTGTGATTACCGGAACTAAAGGGTTTATAGCTTTGGCGCGATACAGAAGAAGAGGAAAATGTTGCCGCTTGTTGCTGGAATTCGATGCTTTTGCTGCCTTTGAGAGCTGCGATGTATGCTCCTTCTCCGATACTAGTGGTAGTGTCGTTGCTGTTCGGTGACGTGGTGGGCCTGATATTCACGGTTGAGGTGAAATTGGAGGTAGAGGTCCGGCGACGCTTGGTGGATGAAGACAGCGCAGCTGCCTCAGCGGCGGCTACTTGAGAGAGGAACTCTTCGTCTTCGAAGTCGATCATCTCCCCTTCCTGCAAGCAATTTGGGGGCACTCTGAAATCCTACTCATTTTGTTTCCCGCTACTTTATTCAGTTTATTGTTTGCTACCACGACGGCACGACTCCCTCTCTTCTTTTTTTTGCTTAGCAAAAACATGTTTTGCGTGGCTATGTTTTTACTATTTTCGGTTCCATATCACATAAAATGAAATGAGATCTAAAATACAGGGTGATCAGACATTTACCGGTCAAACCAATTCAGACTATATCAGATTTGGATAAGAAAATTTGAATCCAAAGTAAAACATCCTAAATTTATCAATCGAAAACCAATAAGTGATCGTCAGGCTAATTCCATAGTGGCTTGCCCACAAATAATACTAAAATAAATATAATACTATGAACAAATATAGGAGCACTTTTAAAACATTCCAAAAATGAGGCTAAACTCCTACAAGTGACAATGATCAATTCGAGCGGTGCCCAACCCGCCAAGTGACCAAACCAACTAGTGACTATAACCAACTCGTTCAGTTACTATGATCAATTTGATCAATGACCAACCCGATTAGTGACCAATCACGCAGTAACTAACCAAACCACTAACTAGTGACCCACAAGACTGTGACCAAATTGACCATGACCCGGCCATGACCAATCCGTGGCTATGTATTTTCAAACATACATTCTCAAATCATTGTATCAATAAGTGGCTATGTTTGAAATTAAGCTTTTATTAAATAGGTTGTGATAGGTTCTCTGACGAATTTTCTGTAGGTTGAAATTCTCTTCTACCCTACTACAGTAGCTCGCTCTCCTTCGGAACTACATCCCTGCGAGAAAGTAATTTGGGAAAAGTTTTTATTTTCGTATTATTTTTCCTTTCGAAGTGCTTATTTTTATTTCAGTGCAAGCATGTATGGTCGGAGTATTTTGTTTTTTGATGAATTCTTGGTAGGCAATGTTTCATTTTCGGTTGTTTTAGGCTTCCTCATGCCCGTTTTGTGTATAGCGAATCAGGTTGCTTTGTATAGGTGGCTGATTCTAAGTCTATTCCTAGGATTTACGAATGGATCTGTAATATCTATCTGAATTTGGTCTTGTGTGTTTGCTCTATTTTAATGGAAAGCCACTTTGATGATAAAAAGGGGTTGTGATCAATTTTATGAGTTAAAAGACCATCATTTGCAGGAAAATGACGGTATGTCATGTTTATTATGTATTATCATTTGCTTGAAATAATTTCTAAAATATGTATTATTATTAGTTAACAGTTGATAGTTGCTATTTAGTGTTATTATCTAAAAAAAATAGTACGTCTATAGTAGTGATGAATAGAAATAAAACAATGTAAGATTTATTTAGTCATTTTACAATAGGAAGATAAAAATATACATTTCAACCAGTGTTCTAAAAGGCTCCTAAAGGCGTCGACTAGGCAGGCGTAGACTTGAGGAGTCAGTAGAACACCTCGTCTACCCATTAGGCGGCGAAAAAGCGTGCATTTTTTTCTAGCCTTTAATTAATGTCGCGCATGACGTTTTCATTCATTTGAAGGCTTTACTTCCTATTGGCAAGATGGACTTCTTTTATAGAGTTTGGTGAATGAGGATTGCTTCTCGCCTACCGGTGTGGGAAAAAAGAATGGGAAAGGTTAAAAATAAAAATTACGTACTTCGGAAGAGGCACTCAAAATTAAAACAAAGATGAGGGCATGAGACGGGATTCGAACCCAGCTTACCTTCGAATTTGGTCACATCAGCTCTCTTTCTTTTACAAAGAATTAAACTTTGTAAATTATTACTACGTATAATCTTATAGCACGTACCAAATACAGTAATTCACTAAAAAACTATATGGAGTACTATTTACTGTTATTCTTATTAATATGTTTATATGTTTACCTGTATGTTTAGTAATATTCAGTGGCGTACCCAGAGATTTGTCAGAGCAGGGGCACACTTAGAGGGTGGGCAAAAATATCGGAAAAATGGTATACCGCACTTACCGTATCGAAAAATACCAAAAAATACCGGAATATTGGTATACCATCATTTTCGGCACGGTATCATACCGAACCGATTTATTTCGGTACGGTAACGGTAAATGTTTTCAAATACCGCGGTATACCGGTATAATATCGTACCGACTCCCTACCCAACAATTACTTTTAATTCTAGAGTATTGTAAAAGTCCATTAGAATTATGAAGCCCAAATTTAATACTTTCGTTGGTTACAAATCTCCAATGACTAATTAGTAATTTACTAATGTAGTAATGTCCAAAAACAAGTTCATCTTGTTCCAAGAACTTGCGAGTTGTGATGGTTGAGTCACTGAGTACCTGATGAATGAAGAGAGATACACTTATGTGACGGATGTATCTACGTAGAGATTCCACGAGTCGAGGCACACAACTTTGTCCGAAGGTCTTATTCATTTTTTTTAAATTATAAAAATGATAAATGCACAATATCATACTACCTCCGTCCCAAAATGATTAGTCAAATCCAAAAATTTGACGATTAATATATATTTATTGGAAATTATTTATAATATAAAATTTATATGAAAATGTTCTTTGTTAAAAGTACTTTCATAAAAGTATAAAATTTATAACTTACATATTATCATACTAATCAAAATCATGGTCCAAATTTTGAGATTTGGCTAAACATTTTAGGAGAAGGTGTTGTTTTTAATACGTGGCATGTTGAACTGCTTAAATATACTAATAATAACTATTGTTCAATATTGAATATGACATCAATAGATTATTAATTGTTAACATTTTAATAATGGATTATATATGGTCACTAGTAACACCCATTTAGCATATTTCGTTAGTCTATGATAATTTGTTGTATTGAGAGACATGCATGGTAATTTACCGATATCGTACCGTTATCGAACCGAAACTTTGGTATATCGAAATGCGGTATACCGAAACTTCGGTAAGGTAACGGTGTATAAATTTTACATACCGAAAGTTTTGATACGGTAAAGGTATGAGAGAAAATATTCGGTATGTCGTACCGAACCACCCCTAGACGCACACTAGACACTAAACTTACTCTATAATAAAAATTTCAAATATAATAAAGATGGTGAAATGTAAGGCAATAGCATAAATTATACGGAGTAGTTAATTACATACTCCGTATTAAATAGTTCATTTCTACAACTTTGGTAAATTAAGTCTACGAGTTTTCATATTCTGAAAATGTTGCATAATAATTTCATTATCAGTACTTCTAAAAACATCTCTCTCGGTATAGCACACCAAGCAATCGGTAAGATAATCATCTTGCATCTTATTGAGAATGTTGGGATATTGGCCTAGAGGCCCAATACCCAGTTCGGGAAGGCCCAAGGTGTCCGGCCCAAGTAACAGGCCCATCACTCTATGATGAAAAGATCCAATAAAGAGACATACCGAACGGGGTTCGGCCCAAATAAAGGTTGGCCCAATAAGAAGACATACCGAACGAGGTTCGGGCTATATATCATACTTGGGCCAATTTGACAGCATCTTCAGTACAGCCCAACATCCCGTTCGAGCAACGGCCAACCAGCAAGTGGCCAGGTGCAGTTAATGCCAGACTATGACATCAGCAAGTGGAAGCATGGATGACCAAGTCGGTGGAACAACGGCCAATCAGCAAGAGGCAGCCCATGCTCTCCATTAGTATAAATAGAAGGTTTTCAAGTCATTGTAAGGGTTAGCATTTCAATACTCAAGCTCTAGAATAGCATCATTTGCTCTTTTTTCTTGTATTAAGGCATAATTTCCGACTTATCGATCGGGAAATCCCTTGTAATCAGATTTGTTAATTAATACAAGTGAGCTTTCGAGTTTTAGTGAGTTCAGATCTTATATTTTCTTTTACGCTTTGATTCTGGGCCATTCCTGACATATTCAAAGTTCGTGTTGGGCTTTCGGATCTACGGGACTTACCCTCAACATTGGCGCCGTCTGTGGGAAACTTGCAAAAAGTTTCACTTTTTAAACATCCAAAAAAAACCTCTATTTCTAAAATGGTCAGAATCAATTCCTATCATACAAACGACGGTTCACACCGTCACGGGAGGAGTCACACCCCGGGGAGTCAAAAACCCCAGGGACAGTCCAGTCGAGGATCCTATCCTCGCGTTAATGGGGATTTTGTGATCCCAGAATCTCTGAGGAGAAATCCCCAGGCCATGCGGGACATGGCCCAGTTCATGCAGCACATGGCAAACGAAGAAGAAGGAGGTTCCAGCTTTACAGGAGAAACTCCACGCGCGGAAACGACCACAGCGTCATCCCGCTCACATACCCATCGGGATAATCGGCGTAGCGCCCCATCAGCAGCGCATCCCAGTCCCAGTGACCGAACCCCGGTCGGGTCGCAAGCTAGAGGACCAACTCCCGTCGGTCATCATTTCCAATATGCCGAGTGGGAAAATACTAGGGCCCCTCAGCGGCACTGGGACCTGGACTGTGCGGATATGAGGGTTCCACCACCGCCCCCTTTGACGGCCCAGGAGGAAGAGATGGCCGAGATGAGGAGGCAAATGAACAAAATGCGGGACCACATGAACAGGGTACCTGCACAACCTGCACCAGTCCAACTGGGGATTACTTCCCCGTTTACAAGGGAGCTCATGTACGCGGACATCCAAGGGGGTGCCAAGCCTCCGACCGGTCAAATATATGATGGGGTGGGAGATCCCCACGTACATATGAGGAGTTACCAAGGCGGACTTATGCTGCTAGGAGCACCCGAGGCTGCCATTTGCCGTTTGTTTTTCAGCACGCTCAGGGGGCCTGCCCAGGAATGGTTCGGGACATTACAGCCCCGGATCAATCAATAGCTTTACCGAGTTATCAACGTTATTCTTGGCTCAATTTGCCTCCAGTGCCAATCCCAAACGGCACTTCAGCTATCTGACCAGCGTGAAGCAAAACGCCAAGGAGACCCTCAACCAATTCCTGAAAAGGTGGAGGGATGAAACTTTAACAGTGGGGAGCATGACGGATGATACCGCCATCACCCTGTTCACGAATGCTCTCCGAACGGGGGAGTTGTACAAAGAGTTGAAGAAGAATCCGGGCACGGCGTACGCCGAAGTATTAGATAGGGCGCGCAAGCATGCCGCCCTAGAAGAAGAAATAA